ACCAATCAAATAATTGCGGGGCCAAGACTGATTTAGCTAGTGATTTTGGTCAAATGTTAGATGGGATGACAAATGGGAAGGTTTTGTGGATCTGATCAGTGACTTATGAATGAAACTGCAGTAGTGGGCAGAAGCTCGACACGGGTATAGTGTCGACACGGTCTAATGGTGTCGACACCAGATGGTCAGCATCCAAAACTCCGACACGGATGTGGTGTTGACACATATTTTGGGTGTCGACACTAGATGGCAGGCGTCCAAAACATTTAACCTGGTACCTGTCAAGTATGACGTATGGGTTTGGAGTACCCCTTGTACTCCGAATATTAATAAATATTAATTTTTGCTGTTCAAAAAAAAAAAACTAATGGTTATTAAAATTTAAAATCTGAAATATTGGTTAACTGGTAGTTCAATTACAATTACAACTGAAACCAAACTGTACCCACCCCTATAATCATTAAAAGTGAAAAAATGAATTGTTGAGATTTTATGTAAATGTAATATGTAAGATATTTGTGTAAGTAGATCTTTATTATATATATATATATCAATTTTGCCTTTCATACAAAAAAAAAATATTTAGAGTTTTAACTTTGATAACATTACATTTTGATAAATATTTTCAAAAAAGTTAAATGACAATTTTAATCCCTTTACTTTAGGATTTTACATAGTTTTTGTTTCTCAAATTTTCACACTTTTTTGGTCCCCAATTATGAAAAATACACATTGTTAATCATTTTATCAGTTAATTTGTTAAATTTATCTAAATATGTACATTTTTAACCATTCAACTTATAAATGTGCACATTTTTTGTTGCTCAATTTAAAAGTTTAGGGACTAAAAATTGAAATATATTGATAGATTTAATGAATTAAGTTATAAAAAATGTGCATTATTTATAATTGAAAAACAAAAAAAAAATGCATAAAAAATTGAGAGACAAAAATTGTACAAAACTTTAAAATTGAGGGAGTAAAATTGACACTCATTCTTTTAGAAACTAATCATTAGATTAAAATTTTTTTGGACATAGATCATGTATCTAAAAATTTATATGCACATAATTTATATCAATAAAATATTAAATTTAATAGTT